AGGGGTGGGGCTAGGGCGGGGCTCCTCCCGTCCTCTTTTTTCTTGCTGAAATATGGTAACCCTATGTGTACCCAGGGCCGGCTCCAGGCACCAGCTTGGCAAGCAGGTGCTTGGGGTGGCCACTCCGGAGAGGGGCAGTAGGTCCAGCTATTTGGCGGCAATTCAGCGGACGGTCCCTCACTCCCGCTCGGAGCGAAGGACCTTCTGACGAATTGCCGCCGCAGATCGCGATTGCAGATTATTTTTTTTTGGCTGCTTGGGGTGGCCAAAAGCCTGGAGCCGGCCCTGTGTGTACCAGGTTTAGGAGTGGGGGGAATTGTAGGGAAGCCTTCCTCGGAGGGGGAAGTGCAAGGGGTGATAAGTGAGGGGGAACGTGTGTGCAAGAGAGGATCCCCAAAAGGGCTGCACTACTTGGTTTCTCAGCACAAAACTGAATAAAATCTGCTATGGGTTTCTATGGACTGATTCTAGTTCATTAACATGCTACAGTCCTGTTGACTAAAATGCTGGAACAGTCCTTATAGATTTCTCTCCGGCTTTAAATTCCTCACTCCACACCCACAATGCCTCCTCACTTAAAAGATTTATCTGTTAATGGTGATTATTGTGCTTTAAATTGACTTTGATTCGATTTTAAAATCTGAAAATTTGGCAGTTAGTTCATTCTGTCCCTAGGAAGCAGTTTTTTCCCCAAGCAAATCCTTGAAGGTTTGTACTGCGTCACTAAATACTGAAGGAGAATCTTATGGTCTCTATTGGGTAAATACTGTGGCTTTTGGAAGTATTTCTAAATACTAGTCACCTGATAGAGTAGGAATTGATCTACAGTGTACAAAATAGCCAGCTTTGCTTCTGAGAACTTTGTACTCCCACTTTATGAATGTGAGGAAGGGAAAAGGAACGAGGACAGACCCAATGATCTTGGAGATGCAGAGGCTGCAGGAGGGTTATCGGGATAATCGGGAAATCATTGGGGAGGGGCCTCTGAAAGGGGTCAGGAGAAGATAATGTAGGCTGGGAGATGGGATGAGCAGAAATTAAATCAGATAACATATAGGCCAATTACATGTAAGGCTACCACGAGATTGGCAGCTCCCCGATGAGCTCACAACAGGCCAGTCTGGGTAATACAGCTCCAGTGAAAGCCTTTACTTAGCTTATTTTTAAACATGACAAATCATATTAAGGTTATGACACAATCCATCAAAAAAGGCCACGTCCAACAAAGATCAAGATCAGGGTCTATCCTTATCTCTTTGCCTTTGGATTCCACACAAGGCTGGAGTAATAAAGGACTTGGGGTTTAATAGCAGGAGGAGTTGGTGGTGGGGTGGAAAGGCTTATGTTTTCTTCTTTAGCTCAATGCATGGCACAATCCTTTTAATGTTCTTTAAAGCAGCGTTTCGTCTTTGATTTGCCCTAGTCGCTCTGATGATAAAATAGGTGGAGAATCCTTACCCGTTTCTCCCATTCATGCATTTGGGGTTGGGGAGGGGGATTGCATGAACTTCTGTCTCATGTCGTATAGCCAAGACCCTGCTATGTCTTCATCCTGAGCACAGCATACCTACACCACCATCCCCATATTCCACACCTCTGTCAAAGATGCCTATTCTACTTATGCAGATAAAGAAAAAGATAATTGGTAGAGAATGACTGTTAGCACAAGAGTGTCTCCAAGCCTATCAGGAGGTGATAGACTTACTGAGGGACATTTCTCATTTTCCATTTTTATAAGCAATTTTTTTTTTTTGGTGCAGAGAAATTTTTGTTTTTTTTTCCATACTTGTCATAACTTTGAGGTGCTGATGGAATGTGTTCAATGCAATGTTGATGGATCAGTCAAAGGGATAAAAGCCCTTGTAAGAGGGAAACACCTGCAGTGTCTCTGGGAAAACTCCAGTGTGGGGGGAGAGAGGCCTAAAGAAAAAGGCATGGACAATTTGTTAGCCCCAAGTGATAATCTTAGAAGACAATGATATGGGCTCCTCTTGGTGAGCCCTGGCTGACCATGTGTGCCATTTTAGAGAATAAGGTATTTTTAAGGTCTTAAAGTAGATGCATCTTTTTGTCAAAGCTTTTCGAGATAAGACCCCGGTACAAATCCTTGTTGACCATTCCTTTCTGCTGTCCACCAGCCATCCTCGCCTTCTGCGACGATTGCTATGATGTCTCCTGCACTGATGTCCAGTTCATCGGTGCTCTGAAAGGAGAGACCCAACAAAGGGAGTGGAAATCTGGTTAGCCTCAGTACTCATACTCTTCTGCATGTTTTGTGGGGGGGATTTTCCTAGCTTCCATGGTCCTAAAGCATATCCTACGCATCACACATTATTCACATAATGAATCTGAAATATCAGACTCACACTCAGTGTTTGGCTCCATTTTTACTGAGCTTGTCATATTGGGGGCTATCAACTTTCTTCCCATCTCCTCAAGATCTCCAAAGTGGAACAGAAATGTACCCATCCTGCAGTCACTCCCTGTGCAGATTAGATCTTGTATCATAGGAACATCCTCTGCCAGAAGAGACTAAGGCCAGGTCTATGCTATAAACTTACACGGGTATAATTATGCCACTTGGGGGGGGGGTTGAAAAATCCACACCCCTGAGCAATATAGTTATACCGACCTAACCCTTGGTGTAGACAGCGCTATGTCGACGTGAGAGCATCTCCCACTGACGTAGCTAATGCCTCTCGCGGAGGTGGATTAACTATGCTGATGGGCAGTGCTTAATTTGTAGTGAAAGAGGTACCAGGGTTTAAGCAATTTTTTACATTCATAACTGATGTGGAAAGGCTAGAGGTACCGGGGCTCTGAACCGCCAAGCCTAGAGGAGCCGAGGCTCTGAACCACCAAGCCTAGAGCTGCTGGGCTCAGCCCTGGCACAAATTAAGCACTACTGATGGGAGAAGCTCTCCCATCAGTGCAGCAGCATCTTCAGTAAAGCACTACAGCATCACAGCTGCATGGGTGCAGCTTTTGAAGTGTAGACCTGTCCTAAATGCAACTCCCTCCTGAACCAGCCAGTCATGCTCCTTCATTAGAGCAATACAAGGCTACATGCTCAAAGGAGATAAAAATGATGCCTCCAATAATCTCAGTCTGGGAGAGATTTCTCATCAGGACAATTGATCTCCGGTTACCTGCATGGTAGAACAGATCCCTGCTGCTGAGCAATAGTGGTCAACGGTGGTATAATGATTATTCATAAAACATGCTATTTTCCCCCCAGGAAATAGCCAGACTGACTTGTAGTGATTCTATCAGCCCATTAAGTGATGCTGTCCTGTTTTCTGTGGGATGGGGCATCAATTCACTGTCCAAAGAGCAATGAAATTAAAACAGTGAAAGCAAAGCTCCAAAATTTTTGCATTCAACAGATCAATCTAATTGGAATATAATGCTCAAGTGTGTGGAAGTCTACCCCCAGGTTAGGAATAGTCCATCTTCATGAAAGGAATTCAATAATTCCCCTTAAGGCAAAATGCCATGAATGCTGAGGTACATTAAAATGACCCTGAACAGGCCGTAAAGCAAATATCTCTCCAACCAATGAATGAGAGTAGAAAAAACATTTGAACACCCTGAACTACATAAGAAATTCTCTTCAGCTGCACTGACATAACCCAACTTTTGTTTGGCTTCAGTTAGAACAGGGGTAGTCAATTATTTTTTGTCAAGGTCCAAATGTCTTGGTCAAGGAATAGTCAAGGTCCAGGCTCCAGATAAAAATGATGATGATAAATAAGTTTAAAAAAAAAAGACTTTGGGGTCTGTTCAAAAGCATCTGGTGGTCTGGATTTGGCACACGGGCTGCCTATTGACTACTCCAATTGAGGATCTGACTCATGTTGACCTCTTACAAAGAGTCTCTTAAGTGATGTGTTTTTAATGTGGGTCTCATAACACACGAACAAGGGCACTTTCTATGGAGCCGAAAGGTGGCCAATTCAAAACTAATAGAAGGAAATCTTTTCCCAAACAACACATCATTTGACTGTGGAACTCTGCCAGAGGATGTTGTTGAAGCCAAGAATGAGCACAATTCAAAGAGAGATTGGCCATTTGTATGGATAGCAAAAGTATCCATAGTTCATGCTAAGGAAAAGAATATTGGAAGGAAGGTTAAACCCCATGTTTCAGGGTGTAAACCAATCTCTTGCTATTGGGGATTAGGATGAGATCATGGGGGCAGATTATCCCACATCTGCTTACTGTGGGGCTTCTTGCACCATACTTTGGAACATCAGGCCATTGTCAGAGGCAGGATAGTAGACTAGATGGACCTGGCCAGTAGAATGACTCCTATACTTCTATGTTTCCTGTGTAGGAGCATTAAGGGCAATCGTAAGGCTAAAGGCTCTTGGGCTGCTTTGGCATTCTAATTTATAAACATCATCCCCACTTTACCTCCTTTTGAAAAGCAGTCTAAAATCTACAGATGAAAAGGTGTGTGGTGTTAGCAAACTCTTGCTTTAGCAAGTCAGCTTGTCCCTGTTGTGACTTTACTCATGATGTCTAACGGAATTAGGTCTGAAGTCAGGAACATTACAGTACCCTAGTTGAGGACGCTGGTTGCTCATCAGCAGTGTCTTCAGATTAGTGAGCATGTCAGGCCAAGCTCCTTCCATTTGCCCAAGGGGCCTGTGCTGGGACTGGCACTTGGCAGGAGCAATCAACAGGGCACAGTGTATTTCCATGGACAAATGTGAGGGAGGGCTGTGCCGTCTGACTCAACGTCAGAATGTCAGTGTGTGTGGTGTATCGGTAGCTTTTTCATTAATATAGTCCCTCCTCCTGCATCTGTTTAATGGAGCTGGAATAATACAAGCTCATAGTATTTCCACCATGCAGGAACTGGAGTAGCATGACAAAGCCAGATCTTGTGTTGTTGTTTCAGCTCCTTTTAAAAAGTGCCTCGGGGGTTATTTAAGTAGAAAATGGATACAAATATTTATATTGCAAATCCCCCACAAAACCATAACTGAACTGAGGCAAAGGCAGAAGACAGGCTGGGAGTCTGTCTCTGGCAATAGTTATGAACAGGAAATCAGTATGACTTGTTCTAAAATCCTTTTGTGCAGTGGAGATTGTGTTGGAAGTCTGCCCCTGCTATGGAATACAGACAACACATCAATCTGGTCTTGGGGTAGGATTCTCCAGATGAGGATGGGGTCAAATGGAGAACAGCTTTTAGATAATATTTGACAGACTCTCACTCCTCTTTTCTAGGCTGAATAAAAGCCAGGGAGGATTTTATAACATGAGCTGCAACCGTATTCCCTTGGGCTGTAGTCTCAAAAATTTCACAAGTGAAGTAGATTCAGAATGAGTCATTACTTGGATGGGAGATCACAGAGGAAAACCCAGGTGCTGTACAAAGTGGCGGTGCCATTCCCTGCTGACCTGCTCTAGATTCAGTGTCTCAGTATGGTGTCTGAGGGCGCTGTTTTCCAATGAGCTGTAAAACAGGGTCCTGACCATTTTGTCAGTAAAGATCCTATTGTCCTCTTCAGCAAAAACAGTAAGAGGGGACTCGTCTTTCTATGCTGCCAAGATTCCAGTTGGAGTACATGCATTCTTCTACCCTAAACTCCCTCTGCATTTGTAACTGGATACAGTAGTCATCATTTCCTGCCCTAAGTTGCTATCCAAATGTTCTGGATTCCAATCCTACATCAAGATCCGCTAGTGTGTACCTCTGTAGAGACCCATTGATTCATGGGATTAGGGGTTGCACTAGCAAATCCTGATGCTGGATCAGGATCTTAACTAACTTCTCTTACATTTTTATTGGGACTATTTTTATACATCTTCCTGTAAAGCCAGGTGGTTTAGTTACCATCAGCCAAAATGTACAAAGCTTCTGTGTTGAATGAGTCTCTTCTATCCCTAAAGAGACAAGGGTTGGGATGGTTTGGCACCGTTATTGATGAAACACATTAATGTGCAGCAAATTGAAATAAACTTTTATATACTGTTATCTTGGGGGCAGTATGGTCTAGTGGCCAGAGCAGAGACCTGGGAGTCACAACTCCTGGCTGCCACAGACTTGCTAGGTGACCTTAGTTAAGTAACTCTCTGTTCCATCTGTTTCCCCATCTATAAAATGATAATGCATAACCCCTAGGGGTGTTGAGAATTAATGGGCTCTTCGAGTCAAAGGTACTATTTTAAGCCTAGTGCATTACGACATTCGTTTTTTAATCCTTTGACTACCTGGGCTGTGTAGTCGTAGAGCACTCTGTAATCCTGTGATGGTGTGGTCGCTGCTTGTTCACCCACATTAATAGCTGCGTAGACTCCATCCACTTTCTCGTCTAGAAAAACAGTGAAACAAAGGAATATAAATGCAAGGAATCATTTGCAAGAGTTCACAAACACAAGGGTGTCTACTCTTCTCTCTGTGCAATAGGATGTGTGTGCCTACAGAAACTGCTATGGACTCCAGGTAAAGCTATGCACAACTGCCACTGTCTAGAGGAGTCAGAAACTAGCTTTCACTCCACTACATGGTAAGACTGCAGGGTAAATGTTTTCCCTGCTTAAAATATAGTCCCAAATGGTCTAACAAATAATTATAATAAAACTGGTTTGTGGTGGGATCTGTGATTTTTCTGAGGGGAAAAATAAAATTATCTAAAATATAATGCAGTGCAAGAAAAGTTCAGTGAGCCTTAGTAGTAATTTAGATGGTGCCATGATGGAATATGTTACTGGCTTGACCTTTCTGAAACATATTGATTATTTAATCCAACCTGTCATAACTGAGAAGAGGAAAACATTCATTCAGTGTTATTGCAAAAACAGATATAAATGCCTCGGTGAAATAGTGATAATTAGGCCTTGTCCACACTGTGTTTTGGTAGTATACTTAATCTAGAAAGCCCTCCCAGTGTGGAGATAATTATGTTGCTATAACTGTGTCTACACTAGTGCTTATACTGGCATAACTATGTTGGTAAAAGAATCACACCCTTATCTGCTACAGCTATACCAGTATACCATAGCTATACTAGTATAATTTTTAAGTGTAGACCTGACCTAAGGATTGTTCAAAAAGAGTTTGATCCTGCATCTCTGTAGCCAATGAGAGTTTTGCCATCAGTCCAAAACACCTACCAAGGCACTTCTTCAAAAGCATTTAGCACTGACCTAATTCTGCTCTCATGGAAATCAATCCCCTTGCTTCATAATAAATTAATGGCCATTAAGGCAAAAGAAAGCTGCAGTGTATTAAACAGGCAAATGTCACACTATTGTTTGTATTGTCAGATTTTTATCTCAACACTATGACTTTAGGTGTTTGCACTTAACCAGAATTTGGAATGTAATTAAGTCCTGGCTGGTTAAAAAGAACTTATTACAGCATTCCTCCACAATGCTATACCTGCCTCTGTCCTCCTGCTGAGGCATGAGGGAATTTCCCATGTAAACTGCCTGTACATCCCTGGGATAATAGACCCCTTGCAGAGGGCTGAGAAGATAGGATCCTTGTAAACTAGCCCACAGTAAATCCTGATCCCATCCCATTCCAAGAAGTGGCTTGGATTCTTCAGATGACTGAAAGAACAATGTAGCAGGAAGTGAAGAAGCTGAATTCAGGTAGATAACCACGATATGCACAAACCTCTGAAGGCCTTGTCTTCATTAGGAACAAAGTTGTATTCTTAACTTGAGTTAACTAACTTGAAGTAAAATCTTAGTGAAGAGCAGGCAGTCTATAATTTTCACATGAGTTGTAAGTCAAGGTAAACCCTAGGCTCCCGCAGAGTTGTTATCTCAGCCTGCTAACTCATGTGAAAACTACAAATTGCCTTGTCCTTGGTAGGATTTTACCTCATGTTAATTACCACATGTTCGCTAATGTGGGCTAAGAATTCATGTTTTTTTCCTAGTGAAGACACACCCAGAGTCTCAGGCACACCTGGGCAAACTGCAAGAAGAATGTAGGTACCAAAATCCCATTAGATTACCATGCATATTCTCTCTAAATTTAGGGGCATGCTCCTGCTCCCATAGAAGTCCATGCCAAAACTCCCATTGATTGCAGTGGATGCAGGACCTGGCCTCCGCTCACTAAATGAGACCCATTCTGTCAATGGATATGAGTTCCGGGTTCCCACAGGCGCCCCCAGAGCCCATCTGTGCATAGTATTTGGTCCCAAGAGTAGCATCTCATTTTACAACGAGCCTGCTCTGATCCTTCAACAAAGTCACAATCCACCCTTTGTGACATCAGGATTTACTATCATGGAAGCAATTATGACAATAATTATCCGATAGTGGCCTTGATAAATAGCATGATCTAAACTGGCAGAAAGGAGAAGTTAATATAATGTAGACTGGTTTCAGTGGTAGCTGTGTTAGTCTGTATCAGCAAAAAAACCGAGGAGTCCTTGTGGCACCTCTAAGATGCCACAAGGACTCCTCCGTTTTTTTGCTAATCCAATGTAGACGCACAAACAGCTGTGAGCAGATCGGGGAGGCATTAAATGTGACAGGTGCTGTTCATATACTACTGTATAGACATGTGGGACCCAATCCTGGGAGGCACTGAATGCCTTCAACTCTCATTCAAGTTGTATTCACAGGGACACCATTGAATTCTATAGAAATGGATGGCACTTGGGCTCAGACTTTTAAAGAAGCCTAAGTCTCATTGCAAGTCAGTGGGACTTAGACTCCTAAATGCCTATTTCATTCTCAGAAATTAGACTGAGGCTCCTAAATCAGTTAGACATTGTAACTCTGAGAAGAGCAACATCTATGTACCTTTAAAAACCCAGACCTTGCAGATCTAGCCTGCATGAATGGCACTGAAAATTCCCACTCTTCGGGGGAGTCAAACAAGGGATTTAGGAGAGACTGTATTCCATTTCTGGGTGGCCGCGTGCAGAGGCAGATGTAGTGAAGGAAACTGGTTCCAACAGCATTTTTTTTTTCATTAGGGGACAATCACAGTTTAAATCTCCTTAGCTGGTTTTAAATCGAGCCAATAAAAATGTCACAAACCATTATTTCCTGTGCTGTCAAAATATTATGCTTTGGTGGCCTCTAATGAGTGATACAAGTGACGTGCACGGCCATCCTTAGGCATACTGCATACGCGGCTGCATAGGACACCTGAAAATTTGGGGCACCCCTGGGTCTTAGTGTCCACCCTTCCACCTCTTCCTATCCCTGTTCTGATCCTTCCTGCAGGCTCCCACCACTGCAGGCTATCTGTGGCAGCCTGGTTGAGTCTTCCTCCAGAGGAATTTGTTAGTCTCGAAGGCCTGGTCTACGCTGGCGGGGGGATCGATCTAAGATACGCAACTTCAGCTACAAGACTTAGCGTAGCTGAAGTCGACGTATCTTAGATTGACTTAGAATCACTTACTTCGCGTCGTCACGGCGCGGGATCGATGACCGCCGCTCCCCCGTTGACTTTGCTTCCACCTCTCGCCGAGCTGGAGTTCAGCAGTCGACGGGAGAGCAATCGGGGATTGATTTATCGTGTCTACACTACAAGTAATAAATCGATCCCCGATAGATCGATCACTACCTGCCAATCCGGCGGGTAGTGTAGACGTATCCTAAGGTGCCACAAGTACTCCTGTTCTTTTTGCGGAAACAGACTAACACAGCTGCTACTCTGATTCCTCCAGAGGGGATCTAGTATTTAAAAGTGAAAATGCCTGCCAGACCTATTAGCACAACACTGAAACTGTTAAAGAGGCATTCAAGTAGTAATGAAGTCATTTAACAGGCATTTGCCAATCCCCAGGTATACACTGTCAGTTTCTGAATTTACTGACAAAAACAGTTGTGCATTACTATAATGTTTACTCAGAACATGTTTGTCTACAGGACCTTAGTTTAAAATTTGCTTTAAAAATATTTCATTAGTGTGTTGCTAAAGATTATAAATTACATCTCTTAAAAAAAGTCTTGCATGGATTTTTTTTTTTTAAATAAATCCTTCAAATGACTACCTTCATCTAAAATACACATCCGAGCCCAGGCTGCTGTCGGGCATAAGGGCACCAGTTTAATAATACTGCATAGGGCCCCATAAATCCTAAGGACCGCCTTGGACATGGGATTGGTAAGGCAACATAACATTTGAAGCAGTACGGATGCCTGTGTTCTCAGGGACACCAGGCTGAGCCACAGGAAGGCTTCGGAAGGTTTCCCCATGCTCTACGTAAGTAGAGGAAAAAACTGTGTTCCTAGACCTTGAGGTCTCAGTCAGAATTTAAACTTCACACATCCAGAGGAATAGTACAGCTCATATTAGTCTCCATGGTGGGGGAAGCTGCTTGCTACATGTTTGTGCTGTACTGATGTTTAGATTATAGTCTCAAGCTAGCTCATAGGATAGACAACATATTAATGTCTTATCACATAGTTTATTCTCCATGCAACAAGCATGTAAATGATTGATTCATAGGACCAGATACATCTTTTGATTTACATCTGGTAAAACATACCTATAGGAGGGGCTGTGGGAATGATGGTTTCACTGGAGTTTCTGCTATTTCCATGTAACAATCCGGAGAATCTGTGGAACCAAAAGAAGCCGGTGATAGAATGTACAGAATATGTTGTATATTCCTCAAACTTCCAGAGCGCTAGTCCACTGCCATGTAATCTTCCTCATTCCTCCCATTTGTCACCAAAACTTTTGGCCAAATGTTTCCTCTTTGGAAACTTTTTTGTTTTGTTTTGCACTAGAGCAACAGACACACTTATTTTCATTTTAAACAAACCCTGGTAAACTAGCAAATCTTTTGAAGTTTGCCAATCACTAAACTGTACACAAAATAAAGTATATTTTTATATTATACATTTATATTTTTGTGATAGTTTTATCTTATGGACAATTCAAGATCTAAAGACACATGAAGCAAAGCTTAAACCATCCCATCGTGACAACATGATGGATCTGTTGACTGGTCAATTGCAAGGGGTGACATCCTTTTTTTTCCCCCTTTCCTTTTCTCCTCATGATAATGCACTTGAACATAGGAAAAAATGCTGGCTTTTGGAATGTTGTAGACTATAATACACTTGTCTAAAAACTGTCAGTTTTAAAATATAGCAAACTATTTATATTTTTCTTCCTGGATGTTTCCCCAACCAGCATAAACTGTACTGGTATAAACAATCTTCTACTAATATAATTGGGTCCACATTAGGGCTTTCATCGGTATAAATATTCCTGTATAAATCTGATCCCTAACCAACAAGTCTATACCACTGAAACTTTTAAGCGCAGGCCAGGCTTAAAGCTATTTGCTAATCTGTGGCATGGTAGTGCACTGTGGTTTAGCACAGAAGGTATGGCTGGAAAAGACAACTGTCTGTCCCCCTCTCACCACTTAAGTCATTTTTGTCACTATATGTCCGAGTCCTATCACATAGCAGAATTAAGTGTGCCCCAATTACTTGCTGGCTGGTCAGTTTCTTTTAAAGCTCTCCCTTCCCGCCAGCAACAATGTGAATAGCTAATCTTGCTTCACTTTAAATTCTGCTAAATTAATTATTGGTGTATGTATATGATATGCATGCATATCACATCTGCCTTTCACCATGATTATGGAAGCAATTACTTTCAAGATCTGTATTTGTCTCTTGCATGTATGTAACCATATATTGCTTTCTACACAGAAAAGCATTTCCATAAGGAACCAATATACTCACCTTTTCATCATCCCATAAGACTGGACTGGGCTGTTGCTACATCTAGGAGATTCTCTGGCATAATAATTCTCATATCCTATTGGAACTACAATGGGATAATTGTTAAAAACAAGGGAGTAAACAGGCAGAAGGTATGCATTTTCCCCCCTCTACCAGCAATGCAATTGATTTGTTTCCATAGCATGGTGGTTAGTCTTCTAATCTAGAGCAGGAATGGCCAATGGAATTCTGCAGTGTAACCACGCTCCTCTTTAATACATAGGTGCAGCCCACGCAGACCTCTGAGCTCATCTATGCTAGGAAAACTACTGATGACAGATGTCAGTAATGGGTACTGCTGAGCTGATGCTTAATACAGTTCTGCTGCAAGTATAGCACAGCTGCAGCACCATTTCAATAGCTATGGTCAAATTCTAATCAGAAAGGCTGCTGCCTCAATAATAGGACTTCTGCCATCTTTGTCATCCCATCTTTGTTTAAGGAGCAAAAGCTAATCACCCTGCAGCTCTCAGCTACTAACTGAGGATGTGACTCAGTCAGCTCTTCTGGGTTTTTTTTAAATGTATAGACAGAGATTCAGGAATTCCAGCCACATCTGGGGAATTTTTTGGCCCTGTTGTCAGATGCTGTAAAGTAGGTATTTCCTGGTATCCATGTGTAGATAAATAGCAGCCTACCTCTCTTGTCCCCAAAGCGAGAGAGAGAATTTGCTATCCACCATGGGGCTAGTCAGGGCTAGTCGACTTCACACCCACAACTCACATCACAGTTAGTTTTGAAGAGAGAACTTTTTTTTTAACAGCAAAGTCCTCGTCTGTGGTTCTCTTATATAACAGAATGCATGTGGTCGCCTATGTATCTTGTACTTTAAAATACTACAGCTTGCAGGCCAGAAACTAGCCACAAGCTATGCTGGGAAGAAATGAGCCGCAACTGAGGGTGAAGAGTAGCATTCATACTGAGAAACTGCTGATGTGTAAAAGTAAAGAAACATGCCTCTGTGCCTCTTTTCTTCTCTATAATGTTTAAAGGAGGTCTGAATGCTTTTTTTCTGTTTATTTTAGAAATATAGCTTTCATCTATACCAAGGGTGGGCAAACTATGGCCCGCAGGGCACATCCAGACCTCCAGCCAGTTTAATCCAGCCCTCGAGCTCCTGCTGGGGAGCAGGGTATGGGGCTTGCTCTGCTCCCACGCTCCAGCAGGGGAGCGGGGTCGGAGGCTGCTCTGCGTGCGCACGCAGCGAGGCTCCTAGAAGCAGCAGCATGTCCCCCTTCTGGCTCCTAAGCTTAGGGGCAGCCAGGGGACTGCGTGGGCTGCCTCTGCCCCAAGCTCCATCCCCACAGCTCCCATTGGCTGGGAACTGCAGCCAGGGCCGGCTCCAGGGTTTTTGCCACCCCAAGCGGCGCAAAAAAAAAAAGCCATGATCTGTGGCGGCAATTCAGTGGGAAGTCCTTTGCTCCGAGCGGGAGTGAGGGACCGTCCGCCGAATTGCCGCCGAATAGCTGGACGTGCCGCCCCTCTCCGGAGTGGCCACCCCAAGGACCTGCTTGGCAAGCTGGTGCCTGGAGCCGGCCCTGACTGCAGTTAATGGGAGCTGCAGGGCCAGTGCCTGTGGACGGGGCAGTGTGCAGAACAGCCTAGCCGCGCCTCCGCATAGGAGCCGGAGGTGGGACATGCCACTGCTTCAGATAAGCACCGCCTGGAGCCTGCACTCCTGACCTACCTCCCGTGCCCCAACCCCGTCCCAGCCCTGATCCCCCTCCCACTCTCCAAACCCCTAGGTCCCAGCCTGGAGCACCCTCCTACACCCAAATCTCTCATCCCCAGCCCCACCCCAGAGCCCGCACCTCCAGTCAGAGTCCTCCCCCTCACCCGCTCCTGCACCCCAACCCCAATTTTGTGATCATTCATGGCCCACCATACAATTTCCATACCCAGATGTGGCCCTCAGGCCAAAAGTTTGCCCACCCCAATCTACATTGTTTTTCATAGAAGACTACTGACAGCTGGAGAACTGGAAAGCTTATTCATCAGAGATACTAACACCAGTCAAACCAAACTGAGAGAGGAAGCTTAATTTTACTCAGGGCTTGTCTAAACACAAAAGTTGTAACAGTTTAACCTATACCAGTGTAGATAAAGTGGTACAACACTTTGTGCTGAGTCTGTACAGTGCCTAGCACAATGGAATCCTGGTGCACAACTAGAGTGTCTAGGTGCGATGATGATGATGATGATAATAATAATGTGGACACAGTTATAGCAGTGTAAATATCCACTATAGCTTGTTTCTATATGGGAAGAGGAATAAGCTACAGTAGAACTGCAGATTTACGAACACCTTGGGAATTGAGGCTGTTTGTAACTCTGAACAAAAAGTTATGGTTGCTCTTTCAAAAGCTTCTAACTGAAAATTGACTTAATACAGTTTTGAAACTTTACTATGCAGAAGAAAAATGCTGCTTTCCCCTTTTTATTTATTTTTTTTATTTTATTTTTAGTAGGATTGTTCCATTTTACAACTGCTGTCCGTTCCACTCCACATGTCATCACCAAAGTCCTGATCCAATGCTCGTTGAAATCAATGGCAAGAGTCCCTTTGACTTCAGTGGATGCTGGTGGGCAGCCCCCCTACCCCTCCCTTGAGCTGTAGGACTGTTTCTATATTCTGGCTCTCTCCAGCTGAGGAAATCTTCCCAATGTTTTTGATGATAGGATCTAGCAATGTGCCTCTTCAAAGCCTTCTATAAACACCATCTATTTAAGCTGCCTACTTTCCCTGTGAGGTCAGTATGTATTATTTTACAGAGGGGCGAGAATGAGGAACAGAAATTTAAGTGATTTTCCAAGGCCACAATTAGAGAGGCAGCATTTCTGTCATGGGGACTCTACTTCTAATTGGTAACAAGGCCAAAAAAAAACCCTGAGGTTTATTACCTGGTGGATCTGTTCCTGTCATTTTATTCTTAATGAAGTAATCCATGTCTGATTCTACATTGCAGTTCTCCAAGCTCACTCGAACCTCTTCATACATCTGCAAAACAGAAAAGAAGGATTTTAAGTTTCAGCTTTTAGTGATGAGCTCTTAACACAGAATCCTCTGCTAGGATTTCTCTCCATCTTAAAAGGACACTGTCCACTTTAATCATGGTGTGTCTGTGTGTATATAAACACGTTGTCCACAGCAAAAGTAGAGAAATATCTTAGAATATGAGGAAGAAGGGAGACCAGCTTTAAAAGCTTATAAACCCTGGTTCTAAAGGGTTCTTTTAATCCACTGGAAAGAGGCATCACAAGAACCAATGATTGGAAGTTAAAGCCAGACAAACTAAAACTAGAAAGAAGATAAACGTTTTTAACAGTGAGGATGATTAGAACAAGGGAAGTGGTGGAATCTCCATCTTGAAGTCTTCAAATCAAGGTTGGTTGCCTTTTGAGAAGGAAGGCTTGAGCTCAGTAACTTGTGCTGACTAAATACAGGGGTAACTAGGCCTGTGTTAGAAAGGGGTCAGACTAGATGATCACATGGTCCCTTCTGGCCTTTAAATCTATTAGTCAGTTTCAGCAATTTGTTATTTCCAAATGTATCTCTGAACATTTTCTTGGGCCCCGTGCTAGAAGACCCAGGCCCCGATCCTGTTCAAAGAACCAAGTCTCCCCCACTGAAGTCGGTAGAGCTCTGCATTTGTGCAGATATGTGAAGGATTACACCCAGATGAGTGGAGGAGCGGGGGCAGAAAAGATTATTTATTTTCCCACACACACACACTCTTAAGAGAACTGTATAATGCAAAACAAATTCCAGGGGACATGCCCGAAATTTCTCATCCAAAGAACTCATGGGAGCAGGGGGAAAGGGGAGATAGTAGTTTGATGGTTCACACACGTAAAGATTTTCACTATTAAAATGGAAGTAGTCATTTTTTCCCTGTATAAAAGGAATAACAATAAAAAAATCCTTTATTTAAAGCTGACTTGGAGGTTTGAGATTCTACCCCATAGCTTGGGGAGAGGGGACAGAAGTTTGGTGGCACCAAGTTTGCTATAGAATCTGAGTCTGTGCTGGCTTAAATATTCATTTGTAATTCAGTGGGGAGGGCAAACCTGGCTCGTGGTTTCTTGCCCTGGCCAAGTGTGGTAAGGTGGACATCACCATTGCTGGAGGCATTTGATGTGTGGAGAGGGGCGAGCCAGTATGGTGGCTTTAGAGGACACATTTTTCTCCATACACAAGGACTGGGATTTCTTGGGGAGAAAGCCTGTACCTCATCATCCTTCACACACTGCATGGACAGCTGGTTACAATGAACCCAAAGGGAGTTCCGGAGGATGGTGATACGATCACATTCCTGGAGCTGAAAGGCCTAAATCCAAAAGAAGAGATGTCAAGCATCATGGTTATTATTATTTATTATGTGTAATGTGGTAGCACCTAGAAGTCCAAGTCATGCATCAGGATCCCACTGTGCAATGTTTGTACACCTGCAAACCTTTCTGAAACACACTACAGTCAGGATGCACTATCAACTGTAGATAATAATCTTAAAAATAAATTCACTTTTACATTTAGTCACTCAAATTGCAAACAGCAGATGAGGGGTTTTTACCTGACTTCTCTAAATTCACTCTGAGTAGCTTTCCCAGACCTGAAGACGAGCTCTGTGTAAGCTCGGAAGGTTGTTCCTTTCACCAACAGAAGTTAGTCCAATACAAAATATTATCTCACCTTTCACTAAGTTAAGGTATTGTTACCCCTTTTGACCCAAGCGGCTAGCCAAATATTCAGGGTCTTATAGGTTGCAAGTTGGGAAGAAGAAATTGATGGTAGCATTAGATATCTTTTCATGCAGTTGTGTTTATTTACAAATAATGTACAAAGTCCTGTTTCCCTGAAGACAAGAGGAATGAAACAGGAGATAATATCCTTGCTCCAAACCTCTTTTAGCCAGCACCCAGACCAAAAGATCCCTCTTTAGTCTGTTCCAGGACCATACATACTGTGCTTGATTAGGCTGTGCTTGGCTTTCTGCTCCTTCTCTGGGCTGACCAATACTACACAGGCTTTGCTGGCATAGCTATGCCAGCAGAGCTCCCTAGTGGAGGTGCAGCATAAACCATCAGAAGAAGTTCTGGTGATATATAAACACCACCTCCCCGAATGATACTAGCTAAGCAGATAGAAGCACTCTTTGTCGTCCTAGCTGAGTTTCAGCTGCATAGCAATACTAGCAAAACTCTGTAGTGCAGACTATAGCCATGTCCAGGGGCGGTTCTATGGTTTTTGCTGCCCCAAGCACGGCAGTCAGGCAGCTTTCAGCGGCACGCCTGGTGGGCGGTTCGCTGGTCACGCAGATTCGGCGGCATGCCTGTGGGAGGTCCACCGGTGCCGTGCCTTCAGCGTCCCTGCTGCCGAATTGCCACCGAAAGCACGAGACCGGCGGACTTCCCGCAGGCATGCCACCGAATGCAGCCTGACTGCCACCCTCACGGCGACCAGCAGGCTGACCCCTGCGGCTTGCCACTCCAGGCACGCGCTTGCTGTGCTGGTGCCTGGAGCCACCCCTGGCCATGTCTACATTACCAACTAAATCAACATCACTGCGATCGATGCAGTGGTGTCGATTTAGTGGGTCTGGTAAAGACACGCTAAGTCAGTGGGAGAGCACTCTCCAGTTGACATCTGTACTCCACCTCCCCGAGAGGCAGAAGCTATGACAATGGGAGAGCATCTCCTGCCAACATAGCGCCATGTAGACACCCCTGTAAGTTGATCTAAGTTCTGTTGACTTCAGTTACGTAACAAATTGACTGACTTACAGCATTAGTGTAAACTAGCCCTAAGCCTCTATGGTTGTTTCTGTGCTGTCTTGCATGTGTCTCTCACATGTACCCCTTACCCAAAACGATACCCAGCAAACCTCCCCACCCATATAGCTCAAATTCCTGAGTGGCTTTTGTGGCAATACACCCCATATTCTTCATTGTAATATTATGATGATATGAGTATGGCATAATTATGATGTATTTTGTGCAAGATGGATCATGTGAGATCATTGAAAAGGTCATGATGTACCGAATATGATCATCCTATTTGTATGCATGTATCATTTTTGTATCTGAAGTTAGGAATATTGTCTATGCATCTATTACAAATGTGTTTACACTTGGGGAATGCCCACTAGACAGAATGTAATCAGTCTAGATGGCTAGCTGGGAAGGGCCATTAAGGAGAACAATAGGTCTTAGAAGATGCTAATCCCCCACCAGGGAGCCTTACTGGGGATACTGAAAACAGCCTCTGAGTCATGGCTGCGGTGGCCCTACAGAGACATGTGACCAAGTCACCTGGTACTGGACTCCATCATAATGCCAGTGTTTTTCCACTGGCTGGGGGTGGAAATCAAACTGGGAGACAAAGGGTTCCCACCATATGCTAAAACTAGTTAAGGCAGGGAGTGACATCATCGTGGTTCATTCTTCACTGACTCCCCACCCAAGAAAAAGGCTCCTGGAAACACCTGAGAAACAAACACTGAGTTGGGGGAGAAGGGCTAAACCCAGGCTAGAGGCTAGAGCCTGTGAAAGGAATAACTGGAGTTTTAAGCTGCAAGCAAGTGGAGCTTGCCTTCAAGAATCTCTACAATCTGCCTAAAACAACATTTAGGGTGAGAATTTGCTACACATATACAATTTCTTTGGTATATTAAGCTTAGTTTGAGTGTGTTTTATTTGCTAGGTAATCTGCTTTGATCTGTTTGCTTTCCCTTATAATCACTTAAAGTCTATCTTTTTGTAGTTAACAAACTTGGGGGTTTTTTTGTCTAAAACCAGTGTCTGTGGAAATCATAACTTGGGGCAGAAAGCTGTGTCTATTCCTCTCCACATTGAGGGAGGGGGTGAATTTCATGAGCTAGCACTGCACAGAATTCTGTGCAGCACAAGAGGGTAAACCCAAAATCATACCATCGAGAGGAGGGAGGTGTGCACTTCAGTACTGGGCAGTTCCTCAGCTGAGCCTTCCCATGCAGAGCTGATCTCAGCATCTGTGTGAAGTTGCAGCTGGATGTGTCCCTACCTGTATGTGTGCTGGTAAAGTGCACTCTAAAGCCTGAGGGAGGGCTTGACAGGTATGCACAGCAATACAGTGTAAAGGGAACCCAGGCGAGGTCAGTGGTACCCCAGTTCCAGGAGGTACCCTGAGGTGGGGGGGGGACCCATCACAGCCTTAGGTGTGCCTTTTGGTTTGGATGGTGTCATGTGCCTATATTTTGATTTGGAGACTGCTGTTATTTCACAAAGGAGCTTAACTGTTCCTACTATCTTAATGAAGGGTCGTGGGTTACACTCAAAGCTTCAAGAAAGTTTAACCCAACCTTTAACAACATTTCCCTGACAAAAAATAAAGGGTGAAAGAGGAGAAGGGGATGGCACTGTGATTTGAATAGCAAATGATCCCAAGGATTTAGAACCCAGAATCCTGTTGTAACAAGATCAGGGGACAAGCTTTTTGGATTTACAATACAGGTAATCCCCTAATGGAAAGCTTTGGGAAAATACTGTATGTCGAAACTGTTGGACTATTTGCGCAGCAGAACAGAGTTTTTGTCTCTTCTGAGTTCACTTGCTCCTTTCTTCCTCTGCTTGAAGTCATAATACTTTAGCAGAGCTATGGGAAGGGGGAGGGAGGCTGCAGCTTTCAGTGTGAATTCAAGAGAAGAAACTATTTTTACAGCAAAGTCAGAAATAAAATTGATCTCTAAGCTGAACTGTTCTTCTAAATAGAATGTGCTTATTTATTTTCCATAAGGTGTGGAAAGCTCAAACTCTTCTAGCCATCTGCTCCCTTCTTTTGTTACGATGCGCATCCATACCACCACAAAACTAAGTACATATAACGTTTTACAAAATATTGAGTAAGATACATTCCCTGTCCCCTAAAGATCTCATTGTGTAAGAAATAAGGCATGGCACAACTAAGGGAGGGTGTGGAGAAACCAGCTGGTGAAAAGAAAAGGGTAGGAAGCATTTCTGGGAGAAGTAGCTTTTAAGAAGAGATTGAAAGAATGAGAGAAAGTATTTAATTTGGGGCAGCAACTGGGCAAAGTACTTGTGCTTAACTTTAGCCATATGCTTTACAGGGACTTCTGAACACAAGAAGCCATTTGCAGTGTATAACAATTATTCTATTGCTCACAAGTGCATCAGTTCATTAAAACAGACACTATTATTTTGATGTAGATGGTGAACTTAACATGCCAACTACATATGCGCATGTCCAAATACTGGTTTTTATATACATCTTTCATAAGTTGCTAGCTTAGAACCCCCTTAGAAATTTAGTAGTCCTGGATTTAGCCACAAACACATCGAGAAGGGAATCAATAACTCCATTTGCTGAAGAGTGATAAATCTGTACTAATTGCAGCGGGCAGGCTCTGGCCAGGTTCTGAAGAGCACTCCCAGTCTGGGATATGTATAGCAGTGATGCAAAGGGGGGAGGGGAGGAAATCTGAATCTTAGAGGAAACTTCAGATTTTTTGACACCATTTCTGTAGAATGGTTGCCATGCCAGCTATGGGAGAATTCCAGAAAGTGAAAGCTACAGGGAGGCAGGGCTGATGTAAAAATACCTGGCGAGCATACAGAAGCGGACCACAAACAGATTCTCTGTGGGCTAAGAAGAGTTGGTAGCTCCTGGACTTAAACTGGTGTTCAGGCACTTTTAAATTGTGTGCTTCTAATCAGTCACTTGGGAAATAGGTTTAATTTGGCTTTGATTTAAATAAGGCAGCCCTAAAACTAGCAGGATCTTATATTCTACCCTGGGTTAGATCCTCAGCTGGTGGAAATGGGAAGTGTACTGCTGTAACTATGCCAATTTAAACCAGCTGAGGATCTGGCAACCTAAATTTAATGGGCAAGCAAGAAAAGAATAAGCAAGTCAGAAAGCTAACAGCTATACTTTAAATCCATGGTAGTGTCAAGTGTACTCTTGCAGCAGTCATCTCTAGCTAATCACAGACCATCAACAGTATGTATCAGATCCCTCAGCGGTAACACTGCATCTGGGACTGAGATCCGTGAGTGAGTAAAATAAAAAAATGCACAAACAAATGATTCCAAAGGTCAAAGTATTTACCTCACAGGTGCTGATATGTTCCTTCTCCCACTCCATTCTGGCCTTATCCAGCTGTTCTATATACTGCTTGTACGCCCTTTCTGTAAATAGAGAGATGAAATGGAAACTTCCCGACTGAGATAAAATAATACAGGGCCCCACATCTCCTCCTGTTAGGTATGGTGTGACGTTACTTTGGTAAAACATAACCCTAACCTATATCCTACAGAATATAGTATAATAGAACCTGGTTAAGCGGAAAGATGCCTGGGTTAGTTCATGGTATTTTTACTGGAGAGAATGATCTCTCTGACTTGCCCACCGGTATGCCACAAACATCTCAACTGGACAATGTGTATGTTGATAGCAGCCAGGGGTTCTTAGGCTTGAGTGATATTGTAGGATTGCATTGTCCTAAGTCAGGGGTCCGCGAGTGCCAGGGCGCCTGCCAGGGCGTCTAAGTGCACCCGCGTACTGGCTGGCGGACGAGCATCCGCCGAAATGCCGCCGATGCGGCTTGTCGGCGGCATTTCGGCGGCGACGCCTATTGACGTTGCCACTTGGCGGCGGTATTTCGGCGGATGCTCGTCCGCCGCCACGGTCCTCTGCGGCTTGTTGTCTGGCACCCGCCAGACGAGAAAGGTTGGGGACCACTGTCCTAAGTGAACCAGGTGCCCAAGAAGGACACAGAAGGACCCACCCAACTGGCAGAGGGAATTTCTTGAGGGCTAGGGATTGCAATGCTCCATTTCACAGTCCCAGAGCATATGCGAGTTTCCTGTGTGTATATGTGGCGGCTGGGACTCAGTCATACCTCCCAGCCTGAGGAGACAAACACGTGAAAGCTCTGCTTGATTTAGCATGCTAAAAATCACACTGTGGCCAAGGTGCAACAGGCAGCTGCTCAGGCTAGCTGCCCAAGTACAATCCCACCCGACCCCTTGGGTATGTACTTCAGCAGCTAGCCCGAGCCGCCATCCGTGCCACTTCGGCTGCACTGCTATTTGTAGGCTGAGCTAGTGCACATCCATCTCCTGAACTGGGAATTACACCTCCTTGCTGCAGTGTAGATGTACCCTCCCTGAGTTTGGGCTCATAGCCGGATCCAGAGAACATAGCCATACTAGCTTGCCCATGTGTAAGCATGCACACCTACGTCTTCCTTGCCTTGGGTTAGGGTGGCTGAGGACCCAAACAATGTTAAAGAACAAATGGAAAAGAAACCCCATTATTAAAGTGTTTTAAATAAACTGTAGAATACATAAAGGGCATCTCCTAAGTATATGCAGCATCATATTTATCTTCCTTTAGTGGAATGTAAACTTGGGGTCTAAAGTAGCTGATAGTTGCCTTTAACTGTACTTTCATTAGTTTAGGAGTCTTTAGGAATCTGCATTTTTATACATGAGGTTTTTTTGTTTGTTTGTTTTTCCCTCTCTTGATAGCATGCCGTTAAATCAACTGGGTGTTAGACTTTATGTAGAACGGTACCTGCTTCATTGGCTGTGTCTTTGCATTGCTTGGCTTTGTTCTGACTCTGAAATATAAAAAGAAAACATTGAAATTAAGCCCTTTCCATTTTCATATTTTTTCCCCCTCAGGTCACAAAATCCCCCTGATAAAATATGAAGTGTCTGTTCCTGCAAATAATTGCTACTTAGTTTATTGCTACAAATCATCCCATTGACTTTGCATTATTCAAAGTAGGGGCCAGATCCGCAGCTGCTGTAAATAGTCATTGCTCCATTGACTTCAATATAGCTATGACAGTTTGACCAAGGGGAGGCCCTGGTCCTAGGTACTGCACTTGCAAAGACTCTACTTTCTTATTTTGTTTTAAAAAACAGTGTTTGCAGAATCTGGCCCCATTTTTGTTCCCACTGATAGATAACTTTTATAGAACGTTCAAAATACTGCTGTGTAACAGAAGTTTATAAATAGAAATAAATGGCAATTGAAATTCCTCATCTCCTCAGGTACCGTTCAGAGATAAGTAACCAGACTTTTTAAAGGAACACTGTCAAACTTTTACACTATGTTCTGAACGCTAATGTTTCCTGGCTGTTTCCAAAAACACATTCATGATTTCAAGGCCAGAAGGGCCCACTGTGATCATCTAGTCTGACTTCCTGTATAACACAGGCCAAGAAATTCCCCCAAAAACTGTCCTAAACTGTTCGCTGTTGCTCTGCAGAGTTAAACAGCTGGTGTGTGTGTAAGTAAGTAAGTAAGTAAAAGTAGCCACCCTAGGACTGTTCTGGGTAAAATCCTGACCCCATTCAAGTCAATGGGAGTTTTGTCATTGACTTGAATGGGGCCAGGATTTCACCCACTATAAATAAAATCTAACTTGTGACTTGTGGAAGATTTTTGGAACACTGTGGGTATAAAATGCATATTTCTAATGCCATTTTTAGATTGCTCCTCCCCTCTCCCCTGCAAAAAAAGATGAGTTTGGATCTCTGCTTACGCTGCCCTGAATTTATGGAGAAAAAGAGAGTTAGTTTATTTTTTTTCTCCATCTGCTTCATTGTAAAATGTTCTCATGAAAGGTTAGTAGGTTGTCAGCTAAACATGTAAGATGATGCAATGAGGGATTGAAATGTCTTGTTTTCAATTATTTATTTTCAAATTTGTAAATTCCGATGAAACTAAACTATCTACCAGGAGACAGTTTGATAAAGAAAGGGCATTTAATGCAAGGTACTGTACCTACTTTGGTTAACATGGGATCCAAAGGTGGAAACAGCAGATTAATATGTTTCAGACTTTTTCTTTCATTTTTATGAATAATTTGATTCAGGAAGAAACTGAATTTGCATTCTAATGATAGGCCATACCAATTGTCTCCCTAAATCTCTCAGCCTCCCATGCTTTTTAAAAACACAGGCAACTATGAACTTGTTCCAATTCTATTGATTGCTCAAAAGGCACAGCCTATCTGTGGAGGAAAATTTCCTAGTGAATTTTACAATGTTTATTAGAACAGAGAGCAACCTCTGAAATGTGCAAGCTCTGATGCAAAGCGGATTGTCTATGAAAACTACAGAGCTGTCTGCTACCATTGCTTAAATAGCACAGTGGTTTCCGATACCTTTTCTGTTTGCTTTTGGTTGCCTGAAGCGCTTATCCTCTCGAAGGCCTGCTCAGCCTCGTCTGCATCCTTGCACTTCTGCTCGTAGGTCTTCTTCGACTGCATTAAAATAAATTCAAAAAAATGTTTTCTTTTTGGGCTAGATAACCCTCTCCACCCTGACATGGTCTCTTCTGCAGGCAAGGGGAACAAATCAGGCATTAGATTGGAACAATTTACATTTTAAAAACTTTTAAACATTAATTTAAATTTTAAAATTGAAAGGGGCACAATATTAAATTGATATAAGAATGGCCATACTGGGTCAGACCAAAGGTCCAGGTGCCCCAGAGGGAATGAACAGAACAAGTAATCATCAAGTGATCTATTCCCTGTCACTCATTCCCAGCTTCTGGCAAACAGAGGCTAGGGACACCATCCCTGCCCATCCTGGCTAATAGCCATTGATGGACCTATCCTCCATGAATTTATCTAGCTCTTTTCTGAACCCTGTTATAGTCTTGCCTTCACAACATCCTCTGGCAAAGAGTTCCACAGACTGACTGTGCGCTGTGTTAAGAAATACTTCCTTTTGTTTGTTTTAAACCTGCTGCCTATTCATTTCATTTGGTGACCCCTAGTTCTTGTGTTATGAGAAGGAGTAAATAACATTTCCTTATTTACTTACTCCACACCAGTCATGATTTTATAGACCGCAGTCATATCCCCCCTTAGGCGTCTCTTGTCCAAGCTAAAAAGTCCCAGTCTTATTAATCTGTCCTCATATGGAAGCTGTTCCATACCCCTAATCATTTTTGTTGCCCACCTAATCACAGATGGACATAAAAGAGAGAAGAAAAAGCAACCTGGATGCTGACATATCAAATGAGCAGCACACCAAGCAACCCGCTCCAACATCCCCATATGTGGTCCTGACACTAGTCACTGTAATTATTTATTTTATGACCGGATGCCTAGATGCCCTATTGAGCAGGGCACTGTACAGCCACACAGCTCTTCAGGGTAGGGACTGTTTCTCATTAAATGTCTAAATACTAGAGCTGGATGGGAATTGGATTTTCCATTTCTTGGGAAATTCTGCAATTTTGAGGGGGGAGGGGAAATGGAACAAAACAAAGATTGAAATTTCATGCAAAACAATAGTTAGAGGGAGAGAGAATATTGTTTTGGGTTGATAGAAATGTTTCTTTTTGATTAAAAGGAAACGCTTAAAAAAAGGCATTTTGATAAGGTCAAGTTTCATTTAAACTATAAAGCTTCATTTTCAAAGAATCAGCATTTTCCAACAGAAAAACATTCCATCTGAAAACTTCCCACCAGCTCTACTGAATGCACAAGACCGACAAAGGGTAGAAGGGGAAATGACTTGCCCAAAGTACACACCAGGTGAGTTTCAGAACCAGAAGCCAGGTCTCCTGAGTCCCAGTGACCAGTGCCCTATCCAGTAGACCACACTGCCTCCCAGGCATCCTACAGGGTTAACCATGACCAGTTTAACACATTTTTAAATATGACATGCCCTGTCCACACTAGGTGCAAGGTCCTGTTTAAAATGGTTGGTGGTTATTTGCATTGCAGTAGCATCTAGGTGCCCTACTCACAGACAAAGACTCCATTGTGCTGTACAAACACAAAACAAAAAGGCAGTTCTTCCTCCTGCCCCCCCGGAGCTTACAATTTAGGTAACAAGAAACACCAGGTGGGTATAGCAAACGTGGGGAAGCCTAACAAAACAATACTAATCCGCATGGTAGGCAGTGGCCTCAAAACACCAGCTGCCTATCTGTCATCAAGTTTTTTGTGGCATCGAGGAAAAGGAGAGTTGTAAGAAGGGATTTGAAGGAGAATAAGGAGTTAATTTTATGGATTTGACAAGGAGCACCTCCCATGGATAGAGGCAGCATGGGAGAAAGCACAAAGGTGCCTGGTTTGAAAACTGAACGAGTGGGTGATGGTAGCTGGCATCATTATCAGAGTGGAGTTTAAAACCTGACCATTTTCCTAGTTCTAGACATGGCACTACTTAATCAACAGAGCTGCTCTCCGTGTTTATCCAGCGTTATAGATGCCAACCTCAGCCCAAAATAGGTTTTCCCTGCTTTTCACTCTAGTTAGCCCTCCAAAGTTAACAACTCCAGCAGAGGGCACTAAATTCCATTGTTGCTCATGCATCATCATTGTTGCCATCTAGTTCAACAGCTGAGCCAAATTCTCTCATCGTTTATACCATTGGAGTTGCACAAGTGATCCTCAGGTCGCACTTGGCCTGTAGAATCTTCATTGATGGTGATGATGCATGAGCCTGTAGGAATTCACTTGACTTTCAGATCCCCAGGCTGAGTAGGCCAGCCTGAATGGCAAAAAAAAAAAAAAAAAATCTTAGCCTGTAAATATGTTGAAAACGAAATAACGGTGGCAGTAACTCAAAGTTAACCCTCAAGGTGCTGTAAGAGACCTTTAACTAGGCGTGGCAGGGAAAACATGTTTCCATGTCTTAACCTTATGGCTTGGAAACACATACTCTTTACTTTATTTCATCATGTTCTTGACATTCCTTTAAGATATTGTCTGCAATGAAAATTTCACCCTCCCACCCTAATTTTCCTCCGTGTGCAACTGGATGAATGTATTATTAAACCACATAACTTACCTCCATTGTTTTCTTATAAAGGGACACCTTGCTCTTTTGCGCACGTTCCATTGCAATCTCGTACTGTAAGAAACACACAGGACTAAACATTTCTCCTTTTAGTGGCAGGATTAGAAGAGCAATTGTTTCACCATTTCTAAGAACCATGTTCCTGTGCAGAAAATGCCTTGATGTTGCTTTTGTAACTCACGCCCTTCTAAATGACACAGTGCAAAGCTAGGAAAAATTAATCCAAGATCATTTTGCTTCAGTGGCTTCCATTAATAGCCAAGAGGATATGTCTTCGTTTTCTCTACTTATCTGAAGAAGCTTAAATTGGTAACACCCAGTCACACTGTACATAAGCTTTGCCAGCCGAGTTCTGCGTAACAGCACAAGCCCTGGGATAGGATCTTGTGCTGCTGCTGCTGTGTTTGTGCAGTCAAACCAGTGCCCCACCTTGCTGAGTAAGGACTTCTATCCATTCCAAATGTGAGCATATCCTGTATGATTAATAACAGATCCCATTACCTCTGTCAAATGACTATATTCTACCTAATTTCCATGGGCATCAGCAGGTTAGCTTGAAGGGCATTGGCCCCACCTCCTCTTCTTCAATTTGACATGGTTTGAAATACCCAGCTCCAAGCTTAAAAACAAGAGCCTTTCCTATTCGGCAGCCAGACATGACTCTCATCCCATGACACAGTCTTTTTAACAGAGCTTGATCTGAACACAGATGGCTTTGTTTCAGATTATGAAATTTCAATATATGTAATGCTTCTCTCCCAACAGCCTTGGCTGATCACCAGAGATCCTAGTTTTCCATGATTAAAAAACCCCAAAATTCTCTGATTTAAAAAAAAAATGGATTTCTGAGGTGGCTGCTGATTACTGCTGTAAGTGTTTAATCCCTTTTTTAAAATTTGGGTAAGAAGGTTACTTCTATAATATCCTGCCGGAGCACTAAAATATACTGCAATTGAAGTAGTAGCAAAGAGTTTGAGCCTTGTGTTGAACTCAATGTCTAGATCATCTCATCCATGATGTCAGGGAAATGCTGGGAATCAGGGTTTCTTCCCTGGAGAAGGTGGCGGGAGGAGGGGCATGGACGGCGGGTGTTGAAAGCTGGGGAAGGCTGAGCCTCCCCAAACAGCCTTGGGTGGTCCTGCCCATGCTCCGTCCCCAGGGCCCTTCCTGCTTCCTGGCACTGTGCTGTGGGGAGCTCTTTCCCCTGTGGCAGGGACTAATGGGGGCTGGCCTGTGCTCCAGGGCTGGGAGAGGCCACGTCGCCTGTCTGTCTGGCGCTCCAGGGCTAGGGGAGGGGTGATGACGGCCTATATGCGGGGACCCTCTGGGCTTCAGCAGGCCGGGTGGGGCCTCTGGCAGAAGGGGCAGGCCATGCAGGAGGACTAGCCTCCCCGAGCCCAGGGTTCACCCGCCGCCCATGGGGAGGGGAGTCTAATTCTGCAGTCTTTAGACCTTATTCAAGCAAAACTCCCCCTGTTGCCAACAGAGGTGTTGCCTGAGTAAGGGCCAAATGGTGCAGTCCAGAATGCTGCTGTTGCAGAGCTAGCACAAAGACCCACACTGCTGTGTTTTGGGAGATCACCGGAAATGCTGGCATGGTTTGCTCTAGTGCTACTTTCTTGGCAGCCAGCCAATGGGTGACCAAAAGAAAAACCTGCAACCGACATGGAGAATCCAGAAGAGATCTTTGCCTTGCTCCCAGTAAAGGTTTCTCTTAAAGGCTTCCAATGCAGAACTATTTCAAAAAGATACAGCCCCTGTTTCCATGCAGCTCTCCAAGTAGTAAACGGGGTGGTGGAGAAGATAAATACTGATTCAAATATGAAACAGACATGGAATTGTGTCTAAATTGAATGTGCTTCATGAAGCAGCTGTGGAGCTCGAAAATCAGACAACAGCACTGTCAGAAACAGGATCGTTTTTACCCACTCTGAAATTCTGGAGTGTTTCATTGGCTAAGTTCCCATCTGTGCTATAGAGATGATGAGGTTGGTGCACTTGGAACTACCTGGATTTGTCCTGTTTTGTTTTAAAGGGGCGTGGGATGTGGAAATTTTGCATGGCTGCCAAAAACCATCATTGTTTTCAGTGGCAAGGCCACGCCCTTTATTTATTTCCAGATAGAACCAGAGAGGGTGTAAAAATTAACATTGTCACTCGCTTAACAGATACCTTGTTCAAGGGATGCTGAATTTGGGAGGATCAAAGGGAACGAAAGCTGGCTTGAACACAGCTGGATTCTTTTAATACAACACCTCTGGTGAATACTAGATTAATATCATTTATCTTGTGGATTTCTAACACACTCATCACCTTATTACTTAGGCTTCAAGTTCAACACAATGCACAAACTTTTGTTACTGCATCAATTTCAGTGTATTGCAATGCTCTTACAGGATTTTTACTGAAGCAACCTGCTTAGCAAGAGTTTTAAAAAGGGATTATATACTTAGGGTATAGCTACACTTGCAGATGTAGAGCACTGAGAGTTAAACCCACCTTCGTAGAGCGCAGTAGGGAAAGCACTGCAGTCTGTCCACACTTACAGCTCCTTGCGTACTGGCGTGGCCACATTTGCGGCACTGGGAGCGGTGCATTATGGGCAGCTATCCCAGCATGCAAGTGACTGCAACGTGCTTTTCAAATGGGGTGGGGTGGAGTGTGACAGGGAGTGTGTTGTGTGTATGTGGGGGGAGAGAGAGTGGGGTTTTGGGGGGGCTGAGAGCATGTCAGCCTGCTGTCTTGTAAGTTCAGACAGCAGCAGACCCCCGCCCATTCTCCCCCACACCTCTCTCTCACAGCATTCCACACTAATGGCTTGCATGCCGGCTGTCAGAAACAGAGCTTTGAAAGGGCATTTCCGCATTCCTACAGGAGTTCAAAACAATGACAAGAGTGGTCACTTGACTTAAGGGGATTATGGGATGTTTCTGGAGGATGATCACAGTGCAGTAACCCAACCCCTTGTTCACACTGACGCCCGTGCGTTGTAGCCAAGGCACAGCAAACGTTATTCCTCTCGCCAAGGTGGAGTACCAGCAGCGCTGTAGCCGTGGATTCAGAGCGCTCTACGTGCCTTGCCAGTGTGGACGGGGAGTGAGCTAGGGCGCCCGGGGCTCCTTTATTGCACTGT